GAAATAAATAAAAGTAATAGCCTTCTAAAGAAAATTTTTTATGTTTAACCCCTAATAATTACAGAGCAATTGGTCTAGTAATCAAAGAGAAAAGCGTTTTTTTAAAACGTGTCAAAGAACAACAAGAAGAAGAAGAGTGCCAGCATAAAAGGCGAAACGATCGTTATGTCCACTGACAAGTCCCATAACCTAACTTAAGATAACCTAGCTTAATATAAACAGAATGGCAGCTCGATAACCAGTATTGATTTTCGGCGTCTCACTTCCCCCGAAGTACTATTTTCTTCTTTTACACCAGGGGCGGGCAATTAGTTTTCTGTATGGGCCAGTTAAACATAATAGACGTGGTTGCTGGGCCGGAGACTCAAAATAAAATAAGCTATAAAGAGGAAACAGTTTATTTACAAAAACTAATCCAACAGCTAGGCTAACGTTTATATACAAATAGGAAACACGAGAATATCGGTCAGAGACCGAAGACTTATCGATATAAAATCAATATACCAAAATCAATAGACTTCTGGTCCGACATATGATGAATGCACATGCTAAATCTGGAGCAGATTCAATCTTGCTTTCGTGAGATATCGCGTGCATCTAACAGACAAACAGACATACAGACAAATACCTATCAACATACTTACCGATTAAAATCGATAAGTAATAATGAACAATTGGGGTCATTATGACGTTATTTTCATCGATATTTTCAACGGAAATTTATATTCATAAAACTAAAGTCGGTATTTCAGCAGACACAAGGAGGCGGATAAAACAATTCGGGCCCGTAATTTGCCCACCCGTGTTTTACACTGTTTATTCATAAAGTGTATTAGTATGGTTTAAAATTAACTACTGATTACTAATTACTGATCAATGGAAATAGACAATGGGTGGTGGGTCGATAGCAGTATAGTGTCATCAATCGATTAATTGCCCTCAATTAATGATGGGATTCAAAATGTTAAGATTATGTTCGCTTTTGGGTGCTCCAGAAGTGTGTGTAACCAATATGAAGGTAACTAATTTTGTTCGCCTACTTCACATCAAGTTGTGTAAAGGGACGAAAACCTATGAGCAGCTGGTATATTTACTTGCCTAACACAGACAGCCCCCGAATTCGTAATAGAACTAAAATAAGTAAAATATAATTAAAATTATGGCCGAACCTTATCCCTTACACACACTACGGGAGTACCATCATTTGCGTCGAGCTCACTAGCAGCTGGTTTCATCAGTTCGAAAACAATTCCGAGCTTATAGCTGTATAACAGTGATTCCCAGAGTTGATTCACCGAGGGCCAGAATTAGAAGCGGAGAGATATTCGCGGTCCGGAAGAAGGGAGCGCCCACAAATGGCCAATTCCGGTATGTATAAGTAAGATACTGACATAAATGAATTGTTACGAATATACACGTGCTCAAACTGTGTTAATGATGTAACAACTGGAAATTTTTAAACGCAAAAAAAACAGAAATATAAACTAGAGCTGCGTGCAGCTTTAACAGGCTTCCCGCGTAAAAAAAAATTTGCATTTTATTGCTAGCTGAGAACTTCTGCACATTTGAGGTGAATTTCAAGTTTGTAGGACCAATTTGAAAAAATAATAATAATAAATAAATAATAATAATAATAAAACACAGGAATACAATAGGTTCCCTGCTGACAAGCAGCGGGAAGCCTAATTATTGAACTATTTCACTTAAGTTCGACCGACCATATTAATAAATCGTTACGCGGACCATGGAACCGCTGCTCTATGACAACGCAACGTAACACGTATTACATAAATGTAATACATAAGTTTCGAAGCGCCAAATATAATGTTAGTCGTCAGCTGCGGTGCAAATGACCCATTTGTTGGGGTCGTCTACTCTAACGGGTTCGCAGCGGGGTACTGCCGTAGTATGTGAACCAATATGGCGGACACCGGAACGCAGTATGTGTACCAGATTAGGGTTAGGCCATAATTTCAAGTACAGATATTACGGGAGTCACTTGGCTAGTCCCCGAACTCGTAATAGAGCTAAAATAAGGAAAATTGGAATAAAATTATGGCCTAACCTTTAACGGGTTCGTACGGGTTCACAACGCAATTCCACCATTGCCCTTAACCTTAATCATCTTTTTAGACACCGATTAAAGCATTATCTTACGCACGGGAAACTCAATTTCTTGGGTGATCTACGTAAAAGAAACCGAGATAAATTTTTCATTTTAATGAGCTACTGAAACTACAGACTCATGCTGATTCATTACGCGCCGGAAAATACCGGTTGCTTGAAGTAGTTCATGCCCGTACGATTACGAAGACAGGTATACGTTAAGTAGAAACCCGGAGGCTTGTCCATAGGACATTTTTGAGCCATACTAAAGCAATTAAAATCAGTTTCACTGTAGCCCTGCGCCAAACACATTCAAAAGTACAATGTTCTATATTAGACCACAGTCGCCTCCAAATGATTTCATTGTAATTTTGCCTCAACATATTTGTCATCATGGATACTTAGATTGTTGGTGCACGGGGTCGTTTTTTTGTTGTTGTTGAAACGCGCGACTACTGGGCATACCGGGTTGGCCTGCCTTGACGTATTTATTTTACAAATAACATAATATATTTCGACGTTTTATTTTCGGCGCTCCAGGAGTATGTGCAGAAAAAATGGCGCACAATCTGATAACCTTTGGGACACATACTCCGGGAGCACCGTACTTTCTTGTTAGACTTTCTTATGGATGCCGCAGCCGAATAACCAAATTTAGTTTCCCGCGGGTGCCATCAATCTGAAATGCTTTTTCATTTTATTTATTGTAATTTGTAAGTCAAGTGTGCTTCCAGTATGGTGAGAAAATTAACTACTGATTACTGTCTGTTCCACCGCGTCGCGCGATACTGACAATACCACGGAATTTTATTTGCACTAGCGGGTACATTGACGGTTCCATTACATTTGAACCCACGTACATTTGAACCCACGACGATTGCACCTGCATACTATTGCACCTATGAACATTTTTGTTGTTTTACGGATATTTGAACCCATACTAACCCTAACCCATGGGTTTAGCACCCGCATATAGATTGAACCCGCGAATATACACATGGGTTCAAATGTACGTGGGTTCAAATGTACGGTCACCTACATTGACAATTAATGGACGAGATCACAATATTAACTTGTAGGGAAGCTTTTACATTTAGAAGAATATTCGATTTCAGCAGTAAGTGTCCAAAATTCTTTTTTTAACCTTATGGATGAGGGGCTATTACCGGCGCTCCTGTAGTGTGTGTATCATTATGGAGGTAATTAATTTTGTTGGCCTACGTCACTTCAAGTCGTGTGAAAGAACTGAAACCTATGGGCAGTGTATATATACACAGACAGTCCCCGAACTCGTTATAGAACTAAAATAAAGAAAATAGGAATAAAATTATGCCCCCACCCTAGCTTGGTACACACACTGCGGGAGTACCCAATTATCCTGCCTAGCTCATGTGGTGAGTCACTATTTGGGTAGCATTTTGTTTGTTATACCCCCGTCCCTAAAATTTTCAAGGCAAATAATAATACTTCGCCGTTATTTAGCATAAATCAAAATTCTAATAACATGTAAATTCCATTTTTTTACCTATTTTTTTTTATTTCGTTACAACAGCCCGATGAAGAAAGCAGTAAACAACAAGAGGAAGAAACCATCATTATGAAATAATAAAGGAAGTGTTACCATTCCATTATTGTGAAATTACTTGACGCAATCAATGAAGAAACCAAGTTTCGCGCGCTTAGTCTGTGATTTAGGAGTGAACAAGCCCGGTTCGACTATTACTGAGTGTATCTTATATACGAGGTTCTCCTTAATACTTGGATCAATACATCCGCTACGTGGAAAAGCTCATTATGAGAGAATAGTATCGTTATTCAGCGGTAGTTACAGCAATAAACAGCAACCTCTGTCTATCGCAGGCAGGAGGGGTAAATTACTTGTGGGCCTTACCCAAGTGGGCCAGTTACAGATAATAGACTGGGCTACTGGGACGGAGGGTCAAAACTCAACATGTGAAACTATAATTAAAAAACAGTTTATTTACAACAGCTAGGCTAACGTTTATGTAATACTGAAAAGCAAAATGTAACAATCGAGGTCATTATGATGTTATTTTGAACAGAAACTTTTATTCATAAAACTATAGTCGTAATTAAAGCAGACACAGGTGGGTCGGATTTGCCCCCCCCCCCCCCTTGCTCACCCCCGAGATTTGCTCACCCCTTGTCTATCGCGTCTTTATCTAACCAAGGAAGATACCCCCCAAGGGAATTTTTTGGTTTTTAGAAAGAAATTTGCTTTGTATTCGCTGTATTACTAATATTCTTTAGATCTTTTTCAAAATACGTACAGTGGTGTTTCCAGAGTCAGGCATGTCTGGTGTTTGAACAGGGGCGCAAAAAAAGCTATATATTTTAATCGTAAAATATCTCGAAAAAAAATAATTTCAAATTTCAAATTAGTACCTTGCTTAAATACTAACGTAACTGCAACTCGATTCAACAACAGTCGTAAAATTCAGTCAGTGATCAAGGGGAACATTTTTAAACTTCGCCATGGGCGCCATGTTACGTAGATACGCCATTGGATACGTATTCATAAACACAGAATGAACTACAACTGTAAAAAAACGGGAGTGCGACTAGGCCGTAACACTAGCAGAGAAGTCTATTAATTTGAGTAAATTAGTTTATGCACGGGAAAGGAGGAATAAATAATTTGAACAGGCAAGGGGGGTATTTAACAAAAAAGGTTGGGAAACCACTAGTCATCGGGTTTGACGTCAGTGGCTGGTATAGTGAATTTTGTAATAATCCCGGGGGAAAGAAAAGCCGATAAGACGGCTTAATTATTAGCCAGAAAATGATAAAAAGCAGTGAATTAATCTCAGCTAACTGAAGTTTTGAAATAAAAAGTATCTAGAAAGGTTCGAGCTAATTTTACTGTTTTGTTTACAGCCAGCATTTATTATCTCTTCGTTATTAAAATCGTTTTCCTAAACCTAAAAATATGGCAACTACAGTAGTCATTGCGGCCCCAGCGAGCGGTCACCCAGGAGATGCATTTAAAGAAGAATTCAAAAAGATCGGGGTGAGTCAGCGGATTTCAGACTTTTGGTTTGAAATGTTAAAAAAAACACTCATGTTCGCTAAACTCGGTCAAGGAGATAAACGAGAATATCGGTTGGAAACCGAAGACTTATTGATCGATAGTTAGGGGATCCCCCAAAACAGAAACTGCAGTTTCGATTCATCCGCTCTTGTAACTTGCGCACTGCGCATCGCACACACACACTCGGCGGGTATCAAAATTCTCTCGCTTTACAAAAATCTAGATCACTATATCAATAATTGATTGATAACTCGCTAATTATACCACATAATTCGCCCAAAATCAATAGGTTTCTGGTCCGAGATAAGATGAATGCACATGCAAATTTTGGAGCAGATTCAACCTCGCATTCGCGAGATATCGCGGTCATCTAACAGACACACAGACATACATACAGACAGACATACATACAGACAAATACCTATCAATATACTTACCGATCTTAAGATCGATAAGTAATAAACTGCAGCTGGCAAAATTGCAGCAAGTAGTGTCTATCTCTATAGTTAGTAGGGCTGGGCGTTTTCGATTACCTTATCATTTCAGAATCGAGTCGAATCTCGAATACTTGGGAGATATATAAATGTATGCGACTTTTTTATTGTAATTGGTTCTGTCAATAAATGAATTACTGAAAACATCATTTAGACAGAAAGATAATAAATATCCTACTGAAAATAAAAATTGACAGATAATAATATAAACACTATTCAATGAATTTTAAAAAGATATGACGTAACACATATTGATGACATCATTGTGGTAAGTAATGTCCATTTGAATACTAACTTCAGACATTAATTTGGGGAACTCAATTAAATATTTCAAAAATTCCTGTGGGTTTGATAGGATTCTTTTTGTGCGATGACCTCACCAAAGTTTGCGTAATCTGTGGCGATTAGTCGTGCAGACTACGATACTGGTAGTCTACTGTGATAGATTGCATATCCGTTCTACTTTGTTTTGGCTTTCGTGTCCATATGTTTGATCAATGCTTTCTTGTTTGTTACAGATAAGCGAACTTACATTCGGAGGATGCGCCATTGTTTTTGAAATCATATCGCTGGCAATTTGGATCAGTACTTACCTGCTTTATACATCAGCTCCTGGGATCTACTGTGGAATATGGGTAAGAAATAGTCGCAATTTTAAATTAGACCAGTGGTCGACAAACTGCACCCCGCGGTCTGTATATACAACTTCCTTCTGGTCCTCAAACGACCTCACTTTTACGCATAAAAACCAAATTTTTCCATTAATTTCAATATGTAAAATATATCAACTCAAAGTTGTGATTATCACAGAAATAGGAGTCGCGAGTGCATCATAATTTGAGTTTAATTTCACGATTGTTCATTGCGTGAGATTAATGTTGCCCGCACACGCTTGGAAATAGCATATTTGGGCCAGCAATACATAAAGTTTGCCGACCACTGGCTTAGGCTGTTTGAAGGGAAATTTGCTCAAGGCCTGGTAGCGTGAACTGACTCAGAAATAATGGAGACTAATCTCTGACCCGGCCTGTTGATCATGCATTGTGTTATTAATATAGGGTGTTCATGAAGTCCTAAAATTTCGAAGAGAATTTATTGATACCATATATTGTTTTGGCCCTAGCGGATGTATCAAATGAATTAAAAATACTTGAACAATTGCTGATTAAAAACAGCGAACTTGGTATCTATTGAGAACTGACTTCATAACAAAATGAAATTGTAAAAGGACTTTATCAACATCCTGTATATTGTCGTATTTCGGTTGATTTTTTTTAAAGTGGTTAATAGAACCCATCTTATTTTCAAATCTATTCTAAATTTTCGTTACATTACGTGAACATACATTTGCTGTTTAAACCTCAATGTCCTTGCCATTACCTATCAGGGCGAAGGGGGTAATGTCAACAACCACTGAATTATTTCCAGTTCATTTGGCCAAGCGAATTGTATATGCTAGTTTAACAGCAAAAAAACAAACAGTAAAGGCATGAGGGCGGAGATGTATCGTTTATATTAAATGACCCACATGTTATGGTCGGATGACGTGTCATTATGTAAATATTATTCACGTTTTTTCGCTGTTATTTCCGAACAAGGTTCAGGACACGCGGACGCTAATATGTACAGAACATTGGAATCAGCCCCCCCCCCTCCTGACACACACACATATATATAAAAAATTAAACATTTTTTCTAAATGCAATTTTGCGGCATTTGCGGCGTGACACAAATTCTTACGTGTTTTTAAATCCGATTTTAATCTATTCTTGATTTACCTAAAATCTGACTCGCTTGCTATCAATGATCTTTTCCCCAAATGATTCAATCGAGATGAAAATGCGCGCTTTCATACCCTGGAAAGTCTGAGAGAGATTCTCTAATATTTTGTTAGATATTAGTGGCTGCTTCCATCTGGCCTTGTTTTGCGCAGAAGGCACAAGTAAGCGTCGTATTACGTCACCAAACAAAAAAAACTCCTCAAATTTTGGACTGGCTACGCTCTTCCATTGTATCTCCCTACGAACAACTATCAGGCAAGGCCGAATAATATGCAAATATATTGTAACAATATATTGATCCTGGCTTGAGACCAGTAAAAGTAAAAGTTGTACTTAAGTACTTAAGACCCTATGAGTGTTCCTCGTTATCTGAAATTAATAAACAGTTTCAGTATTCAATACTGATTGAAAGCCAAATTATGATTAATTTACTTCAGAAAGAAAAATGAGCAAGAATTTAATTCAACCGGTCAACATTGAGGTCTGAATGGTCTCACTAACTCGAATCCTTCCATTCGGGCGCCATTGAATATTCGTGATTCCCCCTTTCCTTGGTGCCCAAGTACGGGCTTATTTTGATCAACGGTTAATCCAACCCTGCTCTTAACACTCCGTGGTTTCTGCTCTTTCATATAAAATGGTTTCCGTTAGTTATTTTATTCGCCATGTTCAATAGTTCAATCAAATTAAAGAATAAATGCATAACTATCAAAGAAAATAACATACTACAGTTCATTTATTTTAACTTAATGTAGTCATCATAAATTGGACCTAGTAAAGGCCCGTGCTTGTGGCCCCCGGGAACTGTCCATAGCCCAATGAAGAAGAAGAGGGCCCCGTTTGCGACAAAACCCTGGTTACAAAGAAACGGAATATTTGTATGTTTAAATATTCCCTTATAAGATACCTGCTTTCCTGGAGCCTTTTTCTGAGCCATGGTGTGAACCGCGTTAAGAATATGAATGATTCGGATCGGTGGTTTGTGCGAAACCGGACATGAGTCACCTCAGACGTAAGCGAAACTAGAGTTTATAGCCTAGCACGTAACGTTAGGCCAAAAAACGTCGTCGTAGTGTTTCCCAACGCCTCGAAATCCTGTTGGTTCGCTATATTTTTTTTTTCAATAAAAACATTAAAGTTCTTGGTACTATTTGCTAAAAAAATTATTGTTCGTTTTTTAATTAATATTGAACTTCTGGTGGATAATCGTGTGATTCAGTGTTTCCCAACCTATAGGTCGCGGCTCAAAACAACAAAAACCTTAAAGTTACTGATTCAATTTTCTGGTAAATTTTATTGTGTTGCTTCAATACGAATTGTCGTATTCTATATGTCGTATTGTCTATGTGGAAAGTAACACAGCATAAAAACTTGGCAGCATTTGCATAATTTCAAAAACTCGCCATTGGAAAAATATCACTACTTTCTGACTTTGAGGTAATTTCTAAAAAAAAAATGTTATGTGAAAATGGTTGTTTTATATTAGTCATATAGCGGCCATAAAAACACTATACGCCATATAGTATTTGAGCGTATTATTTGGTCGCGAAATTTATTTTTCAAAAAAATTGGGTCGCCTAATAAAACGGCTGGGAGCCATTGATGTAGCGGGAGTGATGGCGACTTAAATGAAGCTATGACATTGTTTTAAAATATCGCCGATGGCAAACGAGCACAGCGTTATCATAAGTGCATAACTTCTGGTAAAACACTGCTAATGTAAATATCATTGTATTTGTTGGTAATTTAATTTTGCGGTCACAAAAGTACGTGCCATTTCGCATTTAAGTATGTTTCTGGGTCGCGAAATTTCAAAAAATTTACATTTTTTAAAATTTGGATCATCTGAAAAATAGGTTGGAAACCACTGATCTGTGTGATAGGATAGGTATTGTTATTTGTCCACACAATTATATTTTGAAAAGTTTTGATAGCGCTCCCTTCAATCGAAACCGCATGCGTATCCGTCCATCGGTAACGGAAAAATATACATAAAAAATAACAATGAGTAAGGCGAAAGTATATTATATTCAAAAAACAAGTTGAAAATACGTGGATGGAACGTAAATACCCAAAATAAAGAAATGTAAATATCCAAAACGAGGCGAGCAAGATCAAATATAACAAATGTTTTTATTTTTAATTATCTTCACGTCCCCTCAAAAAATTGTTTGCGCCCCCCTTGTGGAGCGCCCCACCGTTTGAAAACCACTGACGTAAAGCGTTGCTGGATAAAAAAAAATTACCACACATGCTTGTAGTTTTAAAACGTTCCACTTTTGTTTAACCGTGGAATATAAATGGGAAAATTTCGGTCTATCGACAACAGGATAGCAGGTATTTTTGCCGGATATGATTCATCTTAAACCTACGCCAAACTCAAATTAGAGTTTCTTATCTGGCACGTAGCGTTATATTGGAATATCACTATCTGTGGGATAGGATAAATATTGTTATTTTGCCCACTTGATTATATTTTAAAACGTTTCGATAGCGCCTCTCTCAATCAAAACCGGATGTGTATCCATCCGTCTATCGGTAACGAAAAAAAATTCATAAAATTCAAAATTCAACGGGAAAGAAAGGTCCAAGCTAACATTCATAAGGGTACTATTTTTAAAAATAAATATGAATTCTGCACCCGCTCAAAAATATTCCTAAAATAAAATTCGGTAATCGAATCCATTCCTAATAAAGTGTATGTACATGGTGGCCCAAAAGTAGGTATACAGTTATTTTATTTATTTTTTATTACCTTCCAAGCAGCTAGAAAACTAATGTAAAATTCACACTAGATTTATTATCTAAAAAATAAGCAATTTTTGTGGTACTTACAAGTAACATAAAGTGAACTGCAAGTAGCTTCAAAGCATATAAAATAGTTTATTAACTGTATACCTACTTTTGGGCCACCTTATATGCAATAACATAAATTTCTGAGAATAGACGTATCGGGGTGTCTCGTACAGGGGCTTTGAGGATCGCTAACCTCCTTTTGAAATGTAAAACAAGAGAGCTACGCCCAAATATATGGACACGTCTGTTCGCAGTACAGTACGGTTTACCGTACCGTCAGATCACAGTCTACAAATATATTCACTTCAAGCGAAGCAGTACAGTAGGACACAAAATGGCGTCCGATGCCCGCAGAACGTTTAATGACGTCATAGCAAACAAAAACAAATCTCACAGAGCTAACAGAAATATTTAAAATGAATAAAAGTAATAGTCTTCTAGGGAAAAATTTTATCTTCAACCACTGAAAATTTCAAAGCAATTGGTCCAGTATTCGAAGAGAAAAGCGGTTTTTTAATATTTCCACTAGGTGTGTTATTCTGTGTCAAACAACAAGAACAACATAATATTGAAACGATCGTTATGTCCACTACGTGTCCAAAAAGCATTTTTCTGCATCATACATAGCAATTGCTCGTAGCTTAAAACGCATTTTAAACCCTCAAGACTCTTGAAAACGTTTTCGGTGCCTGCTAGCTGTTACTGTCTAACTTAGCAATTAGAAATTTCAGGGCACTCCACTTGGCTACGCCCCTGGTCTCGTAAACGTTATGTACCGCGCCATTTCCGACAATTAGGATAGTTATGCTCAATAAATTGTAATTTCAGGAAATAGAAGTATTAAAATTAAGACCAAAAACCATTTTGTAAACTGTAGAAATCGTGTTTTGGATTGTATTAGAAATAGTTAATTAATGCCTTGGTCCCGCCTCGTTTGCGGTGTACCAAATTTGTATATTTGAATTTGCTCCATATGAACAAATTTAATTACGCCCGATACTTATCCAGGAGGAAGGGGGCGGCCTTGCGATGGAAGCGTTTGACTTAACTGTGTTAACATCGCAGTTTACACATCACGACTTCAATTGCTGTGAATCGATCCGAGTAGTAAATTATTCGAATCGGTTCGGACGAAAAGTAGAGCTGGGCATTTAGAATAGAGTAGTGAATTATTCGAATCGATCCAGCTAAAAATTTCAAATGGCCACTATCTTGTTTTTTTTGTCCACCAAGAGATCGAGTTGAATTCGTCAGTTTTTATGTTGAAACCATATTTTTAAATAGGCAATTCTGACAGTTAACTCTCTTTTTTGGGGAGGTATTGATGTAACATGTCTTCTGAACTCATTGGGTATTTGATTTGAAAATGCCCAGCACTACACCTTGCCCGGTTGAAATAAATAAGTTAGGCAAGGCCGAGCCGGAAAGATTTGAACCATTCCAACTCTTTATTAGTTAGAATGCTTGTATAAAGCCTTGTTCGCAGAGAAAGGCCTGAATAAGCCATGTGCAAATAATGAACCAGACTTCAGACTGCATTTGGGTAGGCGATAGATGCTATTGGGAGCAAATCTCCGAGCTCGCGACCCAAAGACATTCACAATTCTTTGAATGTTAAACATTTGTTATTTTACTTTCGATTGTTGGCTTCGAAAGACGTGAAAGACATGCAAAAATTAAAAATAAACAAATAGGTTGGCTTATTCAAAATTGGAAGTTTTTTTTTAATATCAAACGGCGATGCCTGGGCCTGAGTAATTAAAGAATCATACTGCACACTGACATAAATATCTTTCTGTAATGTTTCGTCTGGCCAATTTCAAATGTCCCCAGACATAGTTAAATAATGTATGTCTGAGAAAGCCTGACCGAGGTCAAGACGAAACGTTACAGAAATATATTTGTGTCAGTGCGCAGCAAGACTCATGAATCACTTAGAATGGCATCCTTGATACAGCATTCTTGCATATGGATCCACCGGTGCAAAAACATAAATAGATAGTCCGCAGAAAATGCATCAATAGAGCAGCTTAGACCCAATACACTAAATAAACATTAAATCGAAACATAAATAAGATGTGGGAGGTTTCGACTCTTGAAATAATATTTGTCACAAGCTGGTTTGTTTTTCAATCGAAATCGGATGCGTAGCAGTCAATCGGCAACGGAAAAATTATTCAAAAAATTTAAAATTAAACAGGAAAGTTACCAAATCCCAGATTGACTTTCAAATCAAAAACAATTGAAGGACGAACAGTCTACGTCAGCAGGGCCAAAGGTCGTGGTTGTATGAAGCAGTGATTTTCAACTAGGATTCTGTCAAACTCTGTTGCGTTTAGAATCAACACCAATGTTATTCTCCACTTCAAATAAGACCCTGAACAAGCAGCCACTAATTCCTTTTTTTAAAACTCTGAAAATGAGACTCAAAGTTTCAGACAGGACTGGGCAAATTTCAAATCGAATTTTTTTGTTTTGTTAGTAGTCTACTGTGGCAGATAGCCCGTACTACTTCATTTTGGCCTTTGTGCCCATATATATGAGCGTCTATCTCTTGTTGAGTGGTCAAGAGGCAGCCGAGGTGCGCGGTTCAGGTTGCGTCATCTCACTCGGCGGCGCGCTCTGATGTTCGTGCACCGGATTTCCGTTCGAGTACAGCGGAGACTCGATTTTTTTGGGGTCAATTAGCGATGTATCAATGTTTAGTTGAAATGGGCGCTGTAAGTTTTCAATCGTTTTACTAATAGGCTGTGAGCCCATCCGCCCATAAAGAATGAATAAAGTTTTTGACCTAACCTCGTTTTTGTTATTTTTCAGTTCTGTGTGTGCGGAGGACTTGCCATAGGATCATACAAGCAAGCTAATCAATGCAATGTAAGTTGTTTGGGATATTTTGTAGAAAGCCGAAAAAATACCCTCGCCACCGATTAAAATAAAAAAGGCAGCGAGTGCAATCTGCCGTAATTAAAACGTGGCGAGGGTGTTTTTCTCAAATTTTACATATTTTTTATTAGTGACGGGGGCTTTCTAAAAAGGATTCGCTTTCATTGTGGTTTTTTGTGCTTTTTGTCCAAACGAGGTAATTACGCCGCCTTGAAAATCTTAACTACTTGTTCGTGCACGTCCGCTCTTTTGACCTCAGTTCTTTGTCCGTGTACGTTCGCCCTTTTGACCTCAGTTACTTGTTCGTACACGTCCGCCCGAGAAAGCTCAGTTACTTGTTCATGCACGTCCGTTCTAGAAATCTCAGATACTTGTTCGTACACGTCCGCCTTAGAAATCCCAGTTACTTGTTCGTACACGTCCGCCCGAGAAAGCTCAGCTACTTGTTCGTACACGTCCGCCCGAGAAAGCTCAGCTACTTGTTCGTACACGCCCGCCCTGGAAACCTCAGCTCCTAGTTTGTGTACGACCGCCCTGGCTTCGTATGACATGGGTCTGCCCAGTACTATCCTATCATTGCACTACCACTAATTTTCTGATCCTTTATCTTGAGCTAAGATAAATTAGAATGTGTGACAATATACTAATTTATTGTTAGCCAACCTAAGATGAAGAGAACAAACATGCAGATAAAAAAAATTGATGGCGTAGAATTAATATGATAGTACCGATATTTGCATTCGTTCCCGAACATATCAGGTTCGAGATGGACGAATCGCACAGAGCTAAAGGTTTCTTGCCACTCCACAATCAGGTGGGGGTAGGCATAGACTAGTGGTTTTCAATCGGGGTCTGCAGCACCCCAAAGTTCCGTCAATACGGTCGAGGGTTCCGTAAGTCTTTATTCAAATCCGGGAATTTCAAAATATGTTCAAATACAGGGTTGCCACTTTTATTAAACTTGCTACACTTCAAAAATCATTTTGTTTCGTCAATATTACGTTTGCTTTTTTATATATTTTTAGTTTATACAATTCAAATAATAAAGATAATTAAACTATTGCAGAGGGGTTTCTCGCGCCTTCATGAAATATTTCATTTGGGTCCCGCCTCACCGTAATAGTTAAAGACCACTGGCTTAGACGACCTTGACCTATTTGCATGCTTATGCTTTATATTTTCATTCTTCGCTTCATATGTAATGTTTGACTTTCTATATCTCAGGTTGTTGGAGGAATGGTGTTGGCAATTCTCTCTCTCTTCGGTTGTCTTGGAATGATTTATTACGAATCTTTTATGATCTATTTTGTGACAGCTCTTACACGGGTATGGTGTCTAGTTACTTAAAAATAAAATACAAGTTTGTTCAAACCACGGCCACGAGGCCTCAACAGAACTGATAAAAGAGTTACGAGTTTGCTCAAAGCAAGGTCCCTAGCACTGAACTAAAAGTGAAAAGAGTACTGTTAGAAGAGTTACAAGTTTTCTCAAAGCAAGGTCCCGAGACCTCAACTAAAAGTGAAAAGCGTACTGACAGAAGAGTTGCAAGTTTGCTCAAAGTAAGGTCCCGAGCTCCCAAGTAAATATGAAAAGGTTCAAAGCCAGGTCCCCAGTTCTCAACTATTTGTCGAAAGAGTCCTGATAGAAGAGTTACAGGTTTGCTCAAAACAAGGTTTCGAGCTTTCAACTAAAAATACTAATAAAAGGGTTACCACTTTGAGCTTAATAAATAACAAAATTCTGCAAATTTAAGTTGACAAACTAAAATGAATATTGTTTTTCAGGGATTCCATTACCTAGTCATCATGCATATACTACTGGACATATGTGCAATTGGAATGTTCGTCTCTGCATGCATTCACATCAGCATCTGTGCAAAGGCATCTCGTGGTGGCTAGATTATTCGGAAACGGAGTAGAAATTGGCTAAACTTTTGAGACAAAAAATTGCTTTTGGTATATTTGTTATATTCTATATAGAGTCATGTAGAGATTTGAAAATGCAGAAATCGTTATAACTTCATGATAATTAGTTTTAAGAGTGTAAAATTTTAAAATAAGTATTCATTTTCTTTCGTGATTTTTCTATTTATCAACAATTCTTCAAATGAAAATGTTTTTATTACAAACCCTATATCGACTATAATTGATTTAAAGGGATTCACTGCCGGATTTTGGCGGACAAAAAAAACAAGATGGCGGCGATTCAAAATTTTCGTATGAACCAATTCGAAAAATGTACTATTCTATTCAAAATGCCCATCCCTACCCATAGCCCTCGAATTTCAATTGTGGCGGGATTTATGATAATGACTCTAATTAAAAATTATATATATTTGCCCGATGTCATATTTTCTGTTGTGTAGAGTTCCCCACACGATTGTTAAAATACGATATCATACACACGTGTTCACTTCATTCCCAATATATGATGTTAAATGTTTTTCTGTATCATTCAATCTACTGCTTCTTTGCATAAATTTACTTTAAACGTATAATAATAAGCTATAAACAAAATATATAATTTGTAAAAAAATTGTAATAAAATCATACTTAATTTATACTTGCAAACAAGTTATAGTGGGTGATTCAAGAGTCTTTTGCTTCCAGCAAACTTGTTATAAAAGTTGTTCATTAAACTTTCACAAATTGTACTTTGTAGCGTTTAATTGGACGGAAGTCAATTGTAAAATGCTTGTCTGAAGAAGGTATGCATTAACTGTACAAATAACTTTACAAGAATCAAAAAGCTATAATTAAACTCTTTTATTACGCTTTCTCAAATTTTTTTGCAACGTTCCGTCAGTTAAGTCAGAATTTCGCAGACAAGTACTTTACAACAATCCGGCGAAAGAATGATGATACCCGATTGGCTCTTGTACCACACTTTTATAAATTTTATTCTGTAACGTTTCGTCTGACTAAACGCAAATTTTCTCATGCAAGCAGTCCAATTATCAGTATTGTTCATATGACATATTTTTCTGCACCATCTCATTTCATGGGAAGCCCCTTCCCCATGGGAAAAACTGGGTATTTCCATGGGCACCCATTCTCATGGACAACCTTGCCGGTGTTCCACCACGAAATAAATAAATAAATACATGTTACTATGAAAAAAAGGGTAAAATAAATTTTAAAGGCAAAAAGTATGAAGATTAAAGTTAGCTCTCGAGTAGTCTAGTTGCTATGACATGGCTACTGCCCCATTCCTTGGGAATCTCATTCTGACGGACAAGCCTGCTCATTGACCACACATGCTTTAACTACTACAATTATATTGGATCTACTCTCTTGGAGAGCCTTATTTTCAGCCGGTCTCTCTATCTGTTTAAACGGCTTGGCCTATTTGATTGAAATTTCACACGTGGGTTATGCTGTCACCCTAGCAATGTGCATTTTACCTAAAGTTTGGGTTGATATTTCGTTTCAATGACAACAGCAAAAAAACATGCCGATCGTTAAAAATTTTCTATTTTTTCAAAATTTTCCGTTATTTATTCTCATGGACAAGCTTGCCCATTAGACACATATGCTACAACCATCTTCCTTATATATAATATGATTTACTTTTGTTCATATTTAGTCAGAACTGTATAAAATGACGGGGTTTACTTTTATTTCGATTTTATTTTCTATTGAAATTTCTTCAACGTCTTCCGTAGATGTACTGATATCCATTTTTCGCTGATACCAATACAAATATCTTTAGCTCTTATAGCTCTCTCCCCTAGTGTGTGTATCAGGTCAGGGTTAGGCCATAATTCTATTCCGATTTTCCTTCTTTTAGTTTAATTACGAGTTCGAGGACTGTCTGTGTTAGCCAAGTGAATATACCCCCTGCCCATAGGTTTCAGTCCCTTTACACAACTTGATGTGAAGTAGGCGAACAAAATTAGCTACCTCTATATTAGTACACACACTACTGGAGCGCCCTTATATTATACTTATATATATTATGTGCATTCAAATTTATAGGCTGAAGTAATTTCATCCACAAAGACATATTCAATTGAAACTATGAAATTTAGATAAGGGGTGAAACTTTGGCGATATGAAAATGATACCCAAATGGGTACTTAACAATTAACCAGTCCTTACTGTTGACTTTATTTGCTTCGTTCAAATTGTATTGGTTATTCTAATCAAATAATCTGAAAGTCCTAACCCAATATTGAGCCCCGTATGAAAAAACTACTGTAAAATTCATTTCATTTTTGTAAATGCAACATGGTTTTGAAGAACTATTCGTTGTATACTAGTTTTATATAGTTTGTTTTGATTTGAATGTGTTAGATAAAGTTGAAATATATAAAATAAAATCCAAGAAGTCTGTGAATAACTGTGTTTCGTGGCAGAATAACTAGATAGAAATCGTAACTAGAGCAACCCGCCATACACGACTCCATAGCACCACCTTGTGTATGTCGACGCAAGGATGGTTTCTTTTGAGAGGAAATCTTGAGCGCAAACAACAAATTTTGAGGGATTTTTTGGATTTGCAATATACCAATCAAAATAACACTATAGATAGGACCGGAATGATAAACAGCGGGACATTCGACATAAAAGGTTGAGACCCACTTGCTTACATATTTGTTGCTGCTTGCTTGCAGTCTCGTTCGGGAATAAGTGTTAAAGACATTCCATTAAAATACTTAGCTGCCCGTAGTCTTAGACTAAAATAGCTGCAAATTGCAAACTAAAATTTTGTTTTGATGATTATATTACGTCACAAATATTAACGTCATCAAAATGTTCTTCTTTTCAGTAATAAGCGTTTAAAAAATAAAATTACGCACAGAAATAAAAAAGCCAATATTAGTTAATGAATACAATTTAAACTAAAGACGATGCCATCATAACACGACGTCACTAGTGACGTAGAGCTCATTGCTACGCTTTTCTGTGCGTCTCTTACTTAAAAGTTTAGACGGAGATACAACAATGTAGTTTTTACGCTTGTTTGGTTGTTCTTTTTCCACTTTAAGTTTTTCTTCTCGAGACAAATTAGCGTTGCCAGTTTTTGTGTTTTGTCTCTTGCTTTTAGGTTTGACAGCGGTATATTTGTCAATAAATTTGGTCTCTTCGGACAGATTGTTGTTACTCTTAGGATTTTGAGCTAAAGACTTCGAGTTATTTGGAAAGATATTTTTAGTGTCATTTATAGAAGTTTGTTCAGTTTCGTTGACCATTTGAGATTTGAGTCTGCAGAGCTTTGGTGGGAGTTTGGGAACAACATGATTTTCAAGGTCATTTGTAGCTTTAATTGTTTCAAAGTCATTTGTTGCTCTGGACAATTCAAGGTAATTTGTAGCATTAACTATTTCAAGGTCATCTGTTGCGTTCTTCATTTCAAGGTCATTTGTAGCATTGACTATTTCAAGGTCATTCGTAGCGTTGACCATTTTAAGGTCATTTGTAGAATTTCCTATTTCAAGGTCATTTGAAGCATTGGCCGTTTCAAAGTCATTTGTTGCATTGTCCATTTTAAGGACATTTGTTGCATTTTCCATTTCAAGGTCATTTGTTGCATTGTCCCTTTCAAGGTCATTTGTATCATTGACCCTTCCAGGATCATTTGCACTTTTGTTCTCTTTCTTTGCTTCGAACTGTGCCTTTTCTTCCTTATTGCTCGATTCCACGCACATTTCGGTTTCTTGTGATATTTTTCTCAGTAAAGATTCTGGAACTTTGATTTCCATTGGAGACAGGGTTGGATATGACGTCACCAATGACGAGCATGATGACGAAATAGAAGAAAAATCTTCTAGCCTTTCATATATTGGTATTATGCTGTCATGTTTCCTGTTATTGAGAATTTCATCAATAACATTGATTCCAGGTGCTTCAATGACGTCAGTGCCTACGTCATTCACTTTTACTAGATTTGGATCAAGGATAGAAGAATGTGTGACGTCATTGTAACCCGTGGGAACAAAAATGTCAACATTAACGTAACTATTACGATTTGCGATTTTAATTTTTTGCGTCTCGGAATTGATATTTCTTTTGCTGTCTGGAATATGCAACCCTGCTTCTGGAGGACTTTGTAGTACTTTACTCATTTGAGAATTTGGAGAGATAGCTGTGTTTGCCACCGCTGTCTTTACGCACATCTCATATTTAGGCAACTGCAATAACGAAATAGGCTGGTTGGAACCGGGTGGACTATAATTATCGGAATGTGAAGGTTCTATTAATATATGATCGCCCACTGGCTGAAGGCGTATGCCACCAGATCGTAGCCTCACTGGCACATGTCCATATGTACAATATCCGTTGTCGGACATATTTTGTACGTCATAACGATCGACTATGACTTCACTATCATCGATTGCGTCATATTCTTCTGCAGTGTCTCCTTGACTGCGATTCGACAGCTGATTGGTTGAGGAATCATCGCTACTTGTCAGTGATTGGCTGAGACGGGAAGACGATGAGTCTAAAAAGTTTAAAAAAAAATTGAGTATCCCGCCGCGACTTTGCTCAGGGATGAGTATCTCTTCTGAGGGATATGCATAACCTGGCTTCAAGAACATTAAAAAAAGAACATTTTGTTTCGAAGGATGTTTCACAGGTTTATCACCCCACTCTAATACTATTTCGTCCAAGCAACCCTGTGGCAACGGTCACATACGAATCCAAAGTAGATAGTACACAACACGTAAGGGCTTGTGCCTATAATGCAAAATGTGATATTTGAGAACAGCACCGGCCACGGTTTCCAATAAAAAATTGTAATTATCCAGTTGAGATTAGGGTTAGAATTTTTTTTAAATGTGAATTTTCAGCGCAATCGGTATTCCTAATCCTAACTGGATAATTGCTAATTTTCTCATTTTGATCGTTGGGAATTTTTTTGACGATGGCCTTGTACAAAATATCCGGATTTGTAGTTTAATATATAATATCTTAATACTCTCTGTCACAAAATTATATTACCTTCTGATAATCTTGATCTCTCTGCAATGACGTTCAAATGTCTCCATATTTCTTCCAATAGAGTACTCTCTGCTAATCGAACTCCACTTGGTCTAGCTAAGCACCATTCTCCGCATGAATGCAGTCTACGCCGCGAGAATTTCAATCCGGGTTGACTCCCCTCACCACTTGTATCCGTCGACCCTGATTTGAAATCTGTATATACCCTATTACCAATATATCCCGAGATTTGTTCGTTATTATTCGATTTATACGACCCGGTCGTGCCGGATTCAGATATCCGGTTCACGCCAAGCAATCTCATACGTAATTTGTGACGGATTTCGTCCCTCGTTTTTCGCTTTTGTTTAATTTTCCTTTTCTGTCGACGCTTCCTCGATCTTCCTGCTTTTTGTGTCTCTCCAGCATCATATCGCGGATGAACATTTTTTTCTTGAAAATCTGCTCTTGTAGTCAATCTTGAGAGAGGTTGCTTTGATGAAACCTTTGCTGACTCAGATCTTGAAAGTGCGTTTGTATTCAGGTGAAAATTGAATTTGGTTTTTCTCCATGGGTCTGGGATTTCGGTGTTTTTCTGAAGTGTGCTGGGAAATGGCAGTGCCGAGGTTTTTGTCGCTGGTTTGTCTGTCCGTATCTGCAACAAATAAATCAATATAGATGAATAACATATTATATCAGTGGTGTCCTACCTTGTGGTCCACTTTCAGAGGCTTTAGCGCTTACGGTCCCCTTGTTTATTATTCCAGTGGTATTTATAGTATTTTGTTCTGAGTGGTAGATTTTAAAAGCCATTTTATGAAAACAATTCATGCTCCACAAAGTGAAAACCCCGTAAAATAACCTTTTCAAGCAATGAAACGAGAATACCGAAGACTTATCGATCGAAGGTTAGGGGATCCCCCCAAAACAGAAACTGCGGTTTCGACTCATCCGCTCTTACTCTATAGTGACACCGTGTGTCCAATCGCCAATTAATCAATAACTCGCTAATTATACGACATAATTCATCCAAAAGCAATAGGCTTCTGGTCCGAGATATGATGAATGCACAATTTGGAGCGAATTCAACCTCGCTTTCGTGAGATATGGCGTGCATCTAACAGACAAACAAATACATATCAACATACTTAAAGAGATCGATAAGTAACAAGAAAGAACGGAGAGTATTTCTAATTAAAAATGAGTCACAGAAAAAGGAAAATCAGTTTTGCGGCTGCCATTGTGGCACCACCAACTGTAGGCCCATGGTTGGGAACCACTGTAATAGAGTGTCTCCAGTGCGCATCCTTTCAAATCTAAAACACCGAAGTTATGTAATTACAAAATCACCACAGCCAAAATGCACGATATATTTCTGTACGTTTAATTTAAACAATGCAAAGTCGAGGAAACTTTCTACTAAAAGTCGAATAGGCACTGAGAGGAAATATTTCCTGTGTTATGAAATCTTACTTCATTTTTAATTAAGTTTCTGAGGGGTCGCGAAAAAATTTGGCAGTGCATGTTGGGTCGTCATGAAAAAAGGTCGCTCCAGAAGTATGTGTACCAATATGGAGGTAACTAATTTTGTTCGCCCACTTTACATCAAGTTGTATAAAGAGAGGGGAACCTATGAAAAGGGGGTATGCTCACTTGGCTAACACAGACAGTCTCCAAACTCGTAATGGAACTAAAATAAGGAAAATCAGAACAAAATTATGGCCTAACCTTAACCTGGTACACAAAATACGGGAGTACCGAAAAAAGTTTGAAAAACACCACAGAAAGTATGTTGGCCCGTTCATTTTACCAATAAATAAAGCTCCTTTACGCTGAACCAGTAAACAAGTAATCGATGTATGCCCTGATAAGGTCACGCGTTACGGGTCACCACATTGTAGACTTCCGGCATCAACATATTTGTTGAAAGCGGAAGTCAGATTTTTAGAAAACGCAGTCAAAACAGGTTTGACCTTTTTATAATGCAGTGGTCGTCAAACTGTGGCCTGTGGGCCAATCACGACCTATGAACAAATTTTCTGTGGCCATCGAACGACTTCACTTGCATATCAAAATCATATAACTAATAAGTTTATTATTATATACGTACGGATTTATACTGTCGTTATATGTCGTTTTCTTACCGTTGCTTAAAATTAACACAGAAATAGAAGTAGCGGGTACGTCATATTTGAAGTTTATTGTGGCAATTTTCTATAGACGGAAATGTGGCTTGTATGCTTTTGGGAATATGCATATACAAAGCATCAAAGCATTTTTCTTCAAGTCATATTTATCGGAATTAATCGTATGCAGGAATTAAACAATACCTTTTGAGGTCTAGTTTTCACAGCTGATTCCTTGTTGTTTGTGACATCATATGACGCAATTACATTTGTGACGTCATTAGCTTTGTTTATTCCTTCAGTGTCACTTGGCCTTGTTCCCATGTTGTTTACTTCATTGAGGTGTTGTAGTCTCTCTTTCCCGGGAAATCTACAATATCTAGCGGGAAATATCGTCAGATCTAAAAATTTAATTTTAACTTTTTTAATATCTCTGGAAGCGAAAAGCCGATAAGTCTTTTCTTTATAATGTAACAAATTAAGCCTTTCGATAGATTACTTGCCCACAGTCAGTTTAAGGTAAATTTTGATTATCGGATAGAAGTGGCTTTATGCCCTCATTCGCCATAAACAGTCTCTTCCAGGGTGATCTATTAGCAGGCCATCGATATGAACCCAAAAATAGGGACATCTGGGAAATATAATAATAGAATACCAAAGAACGAAATGTAATAAACAAAATGTATTCCTGCCAGTGCGACCCGTGTCTAATCATACTTTGCACTAGAAAGGATTTGCTTCAGCAGTTTTTCATCCTGGAAACAATCTGTTCCATCTCACTTTTAAGTTGTATTTCAATTCAAGTTACACAAACTGATTTCGGCCGATAGGCTATTGTTTTGTCATTGTGTCAATTAATTTGCTGTTATTACGTAATGAATGCGCGTAGCAATCAATGAGGTTGTAAAATATCATTTCTAGCAAATCGATCATTCGAAATATCCAATCTAAGTGCCTGGTATTAGAACCTATAGTCATCTACCCATAAAATAAGGACGAAAATAAAGACACATGTCAAAATAAAAACGTTTCTTAGAAATAAA